AAGATGATTGGCATTTGCTGTGGGGGTGTGGGAAGCATTTATTTTTATTTTTTTGCACTACAATAATAAATGGGAGATTTTTGAATAGCCATCATTGTTCCAGAATCATTACAAAATATATGTCAGATTTGTATTCAAGATTCAAAACAAGTTTGCTGGCCAGCCAGATTAAAACTGCTCAATTTTACACTGCTGCATCATCTGCAATATGTTGATTCATGTAGTGAAACACCTACCGCCTACTTGACTCTAGTAAATTTGGACCTAGTCTTGCTCATTTAGGGCACGTTCACACCACTGCATTTTGTAAATGGCACAGCTGAATAGCATCCCAATGCACCTCCTAGCCACGATGCGCTACCATGCAGCACAATGTGCAGTACTGCTGTACCATGCTTTGCATACACTACTTTTTTCCACCACACTACAATGCAAAACATGGTATTGCAGTACCAAATGTTTTGCTGTGTGGCACCGCATTGTGGCCGGTAGGTACATTGGGGTGGCATTCCAATGAATGGCAACACACTTGTCATACTGTAATGCATGGTAGGTGTGCTGCATGATAGCACATTTTAATCATACAGAATCATGTGATTAACACAATGCATTGGTGTGAATGGGTCCTTTAAACTGTCCTGCTGCTGCCCAATTTTATACTGCTGCATCATCTGGACATCATCTGATGGAGGATACATATACCATCTTTGTAATTTTGCTTTTACGGGGGGCCTTGATTAGCATAATCCCTAAAGAGTGTACTTGCTATTCTTCAAGAATCACCCAAAATATATTGCATTTTGGAATATCTCCATAAATCCATTTGGAATGAACCCTACTCAACAGTAGGAAATCCAAAGATTTAAACATACTCATTTGCGGTATATCAATTCCTATAGTAAAACACCCAACTATGCTCCTTGTAACTACTACATTTAGGCCTAGTCTTGCTCAACAAAACTGACCTGGTGCTGGCAAATTATAATTTTTATTTATACTCCTGTATCATCCGTGGTCTCCTAATTCTTGTAGTAAACCACGTGCCTGTGCTCTATGTCTTGAGTCCATTTGAGTCTAGTCTTTCTTATTAAAACTGTTCTGCTGCTAGACAGTTTTACACTACTTTTTTTCTGTGGTCTCTTCATTTTTGTAATAAAATACCTGCCTGTACTCTGTAACGCTAGTACATTTTGGCTAAAGCTCTTTTCACACCTAGGCGTATCGTATATGCACGTTTGTCGCGCGTTTCGTGATGCACGTTTTTACTGCAATTCGCGGTAACAAACGCGCGTTTCCGAGGGCTACTTGGCTGTATCCCAATGGAAACGCGCAACAAAAAAGCCGCAAAGAAGCTCATGTACCTTTTCAGGTGTAGGACGTTTTGTAGCGCATTCAGACGGGCTGAAATACGGCAAGGTGTGAACCATACCCATAGAAAACAATGGGATTTTCATGTTTGAGCGTTTTGTAGAGCGTTCGTAGAGCGTTGAACGCGCTACAAAACATACAGGTGTGAACCAGGCCTAAGACTTGCTTGTTAAAATGATTCACCTGCTGACCAGTTTTTACACAGCTTTATCTTCTGCAGTTTTTTTGAGCAGAAATAAAATCCACTGTACTAACTTCCCTTCCAATGATGCAGCATATGGAAACTCCCTCACTGATCTACATCTTTGTCCAGTCTCCTTTGGGTTCCATCTTGATTGGCCAACCCAAAATGACATTAATCCGGCGCATGAGCATTCCTACACAAGGGCATGCCGAGAATATGCACAGCTCAGTATATATACTGCAGCAGTTTGTGAGCAGGAAGATATTTGTTTTGGCTTGGTGCAAACCCAGCTTGCCTGAGTTCACCCAAGCCCATGCAAAACTGTGAATGACACCCCCTTGCTGTCCCAATCAGTTGTGCCAGATGCATTTCCTGCCCCATTGTGACATTTAGCTGTCGGGCAAGGAAGGCCCCAGTTGCAACTCATTTGGGCAGGAAGAGGGTGTGTCAGTGACATTTTAGTGCGGGCTTGGGCAAACTCTGGGGAAACTGGGTCACATCCAGCCCTCACACATCATTAGAAATACACTTTTGTTTCAAAAATGCTGTGTGTTGTCAGCCCAGCCCAGTAGTTGAATAAATTCTGTACGGTCGCACGTCTTTTGTCTAAGGAGCATGCTAGAAAACCAACCGAAAATCTTATGATTTTCGGCTGGTTTGAATGATGCTCGGGAGACAAATGCCGAACGGGCCGGTGTGCGCCCGTTCAATGCTGAACTGCCCGTTCAGCATTACGGTCATCGGAAGCCCACCCCTCAGGGGGGCAGGCTTGCGATGATCGCAAGTACGATCTGCCTGTCCAAGATGGGCAGATCGTACGTTTTTTTAATTACTTTACAACCATCGCAAGACTAAGGTCTTGCAATGGTTGTAAAGTGTTTGGCCACCTTTACTCATCTCAGCCATTTCCTTCCTTTTAATTAAAAAGTTGTTCTCACCTGCTGGAAGAATTTGTAACATTCCATGGTGATATTGTTAGTGCTCATAAAACACAAACAGCTATATGCAAGTTTATTGGTCATTTTATCCTGATTGTAGTTTTCAAGCAAGGAAGCAGAATATATTATCCCCCCCCACTATGCAACAAAGATCATTCATCACACCTGTTTTGGTTCCAGCTTGTAAAAATTCAAGTTATTTATTGCAGTTTTTTGAAAATTAAGTTAAGTGCAGCAAAATAGTATATTATTACAATGATGATTTGTTCACTGATAACTGTGACAGGATTAATCACATCAAATGTAGAATTAATTAACTGTGTTTGATCTAATGGTAATTTGTATTCACTTTATATTGTATTAAAGTGTTTGTCAGGGCAAAATAAAAAAAAAAACACAGGCAGTACATCTGTGCAATACATACACATTTCCCCGTGTTGTAAAGACCCTACAAGTGCAAGAACCTGTTAATATGCCAGAAATGTATTCAGCTATAAATCCTGTTGTGCGCAGTAAATACACATAATTTTTGTTGAATGAGTGGTGCCTGCCCTTCATAGTTATATTTTGGTTAACTGCTCGAACTCAAGCAAGAGAGTTTTATTGTTAGGGTTTACATACACTTTATGGATATCATTTCACTCTTTTTGTGCAGCATCACTTGATGATGGTAATTTGCAGGGCTCGAAAAATCCACTCGTCCAGTGGACGGTGGAGCCCGACGAGCAGCTTCCTGGCCGGCCGTTGTAATTACACGGCAGGCCGGGAGCTTAACACACTCAAGCGATCGAGCGTCTCTATAGACGCTCGATTGCTTGTATCACCAGCTGCAGTCGCGCAACAACCGGGGGGACTGAGGAATTTGTTTTCATCTGTGTCTAAAGGTGCCCATACACCTTACGATTATCGTACAATATTGGTATGCGATCGCATTTTCGTCCGATAATCGCAAGGTTCATGGGCAGTGTACAACTGCAAATACTGTACAATCGTACGACTTTTGATTTTCAAGCAGATTTGAAAACTTTGGTCGATCGTACGATTCACGCAAGGTTAGTGGCGTTTCTGTACGTCAAAAATCGATCTACGCTGCTCAGGCACAAACGAAAATACGTGCGGTCGATTGCCGTAATCGTCAAGGTGCTTTTCTTTAATTACGGCTAATTGAACCTTGTGATAATCGGGGCAGGATGGGGCCGCTGTACGAAAATCGTACGACGGTTCGATCATTGGACGAAAAGTGTCATACGATCGTAAGGGTTATGGCCACCTTAAGTCACCTGTACAGTGTCTGTGAAATAGGAATAAGAATGCTCTCTTTTGCACGGTTATTGATTTTTCATTTTTCTCAGCATTTCAGCAAAATCCCTTTAATGTGTTTTATGTGTGCTTTATTTTTATGCCAGAAAAAAATTACCTTTAGGTGCTTGCAGATAAAAGATTGTCAATACATAATCCAAGCAAATTATTATTATTATACAAGATTTATATTGCGCAAACAATTTGCACAGTGCTTTAGAATATAGGGAGGACATTACAGTTACAATACAAGTCAAGACAAAATGGTAAGAAGGGCCCTGCCCGTGAGAGCTTACATCTAAGATATAATGTGATTGTAAAGTGACTGTAATTGGCTGTAATTAGAATCCTTGGGGCCCCACTGGAAATTTTAATGGGTGCCCCAATCACTGGCAGGTAGTAAATCATGTACCCCTATTAAAACCCACTTAACACTGGTGGTCAGAGGTTGGTGGACTGTAATGCTCACTTATAGGAAGCCACTGTAACTAAACAAATGTTTAAGCAATCCCTTTTGAGACATTAACTGGACCCCTTTCTGTGCCTGAGCCCATAGCAGTCACCTGGGCTGCCAGGGATGTTGTTACACCCTTGGCAGTACTCTTCAGACACCCAGTATAAAGCTAGTTCTGGGAATGTGCTCCATGAATAAATATGCACGCTGAAACAAGCATTCATTTATATGTTACAGCTTAACATAATAATAATGTCGGGGTCAGATCATATAATCATGTAGTGGTTAAATCTTTTGACTACTGCCTTCCTATTAAACACTAGATGTGAGCATACCAATATGTGAGGCAACACTATCACCATCTGCCTAGTCACAGTTATATTGAAGGACGTCAGTAACAAGTAAAGGCATATGTGGAATCTCCACCTAATTCCTCCCTGACCTGTGAGAGCGGGTGGAAGAGCTCATTGAGAACACTATACTGAACGGAGACTGTGTCTATCTAATAAATTCCTTTAGCTGGCGATGAGCTTTGAATCTTCAATGAGGTTCTCTTGGCAGGCATGCTGGTTGATTTTAATAAAAATAGCCGCTTTCAGCAGAGCAAGTTCAGGATGCCAAATTTACAGCTGCCTTGCACAATTACTCTTAAAACTCCTTCAGGGCTAATTAGAACCAGTGGGCAAATTAAGTATATCGATTGCAATTCTCTTGAAATAACGCCCTTCTCTTCCTCTTTATTTTGTTTGTTTCTTAGAGAAATAAATGTAATTCTTTTCAGTGTGCCCTTCTCAAAGTGGTGTCTTTTCTTTTCAGCCACAACACAAAGACCACGTCATGGCTAGATCCTCGGCTAGCAAAGAAAGCAAAACCCCCAGAAGAGTGCAAAGAGAATGGTAAGTTGTCACGGTCCTTCTGGAAAGGGTCCTGTTAACCTCTTCAGTGCCTGGCTTGCATGACGTAACTGTTTAAACATGTTAATGAGCTGCACAAAAAGACATCCTTTTGGATGAGGTCCATTTGTTGTATGGGGGAAGGCAGTCATATGCCCATTCTGGCATCCTGGATTTTTTTTTTTTGTTCATGCGCCGCCCACTTGCTTGTATTCAGAGTCAAGCTTTACAACAAACATAGTTTAATGCTGTCTGGAGCATTAGTCTATCACCCTCCCAGACCCGCCTCTCCCCTGGATTTGTGTGTAATAACAGTAGGGGCTCGGTTCTCTCGAGGAAGATGCAATGCAAGGGGAAGTGTCAGGACCATTTCAAAGGATTATGATCATTATATCATGTAACCTTAAAGGTAAATACTTTTTTCATGTACTTTTTTTAAGCCTGTCATAGGAAACAGAATGATAGAACAAAAATGCACTTTACTGATAAAATTGCATTGAATGTCTTCATTTGGTTGGAAATTCACCTGGCGTATTTTAATTTCACTGTTGAAAAGATGTTTGTGCATATTTAGACATCTAATGGATATTAAAGGTTTTATAGAATCGGTATACATGTTATCAGTGGCAGCTTTCTGTGAATCCCTTAATTATTCTGTGCACAATGCAGAGAAATACCCTTGTACCCTGTAAAGGAATGTGTATAAATGTGCTGCTGCTGTCTGCATCTGACACCTGTGAGCCGTACACCTGTGTGCTATAATCTCAGGATTGCTTCTATGGTAATAACACAGATTGCTTGTTTCTCAAGATAAAAATGCCAACTTAGGAGCTATTTTCACAGTCGGTTACAGCTCAGCATATTCTGTTTAGGAATCATTAGGCTCATTAGAGAGAGATACAGCAATGCTTGTATGCAGAAAAGACCATCTGACATTCCCATCTATCAATTAACCTTCAAATCTGCAGCACTGAGAACGATGTTGTCATGTTTTAACTACTCGGGATGATTTCATTTTAAATTGCTTCATACAACTACTTTGAGAAATGTCATGAACATGTGTAGCTCAGCTTTACATGCCATTGGATTTATTAGATATAGCATATATAATTAGTTCAAAAAGCTCCAGTGTTCTGTTACTAGCAGTAACCAATCAATTTTTACTATCAGTCACATCATTGAAAATTATTTTTTTGTTGCACTTGGCACACTGTTTCTACTTTATAAAGCCAATAGTGAAATAAACTTTAGAAGGTCATGCTTGTAATTCAGCTTGTAATATTAGATTGGTGTTATTGTAGATGTAATCTCCGGTATTCTTTGTTTGTGTAAGCATTGTACAGCAACTTAAAGATATAGCAATGTTTTACAGCAAAAGTTGTTTTAGAATAATTATGTTAGAAAAAAAATTCAGAAAAGTTTACAAAGGACCTTGTAGCCGATGGCTGTATATACATCACATGGTAATACAGGCTATTTGTAAGCATGGTGTACAGGAACATTGTGTACAAATAAAGCTGTGTCTAGCCATTAATTGAAGAAGAAATGGATCCATTCATAACTTTAATGCAGGTATTTATTCAGAAATAATGACTGTGTCTGTTCCAATGGCATTGATATTCCATTTGCACTTCGCTGCATCTGTTGGAGCAATAATTGCATTTAATTGCAAGCCAAATTGATTTATACCTGTAACCACTTTGCACAGTTTACTTTTTTTAATTTAATGGTTTGAAAAAAGGCTTGTGACATACTATGTTTATTTTGTGAACACAACTGCCTAGTTAAAAGTAAATTTTACCTTTTTTCTTTTTTTGCCCAAGACATGTCAAAATGTAGACACTTACAGTCATTATAACTTGTCCCAAAGACTAGGCCAGTATTGTAATATATGTTATGGATCCCAGTATTGTGCAGAGTAATAAGAAGCTCCGCTATAATTAGGTCATGGACATGTGGTGAGCATAAAGTGATAATATGAATGAACATTTATACACAGTGTTTTAAAGTGACCATTTACTGTTTTCACTCAAAAAGCAAAACGTGCTTTTAATGTGCTACTATATTTATATAGTTAGTCAGGTTGAAAAAAGACACACGTCCATCGAGTACTGAAAGTTAAAAAAAAACAGACAAATATGTATTTAAAAATATTGCATATTTTAGAGCTTGCATGTACTTATCATTTTACCCCTTGATAAGATGATCTGTGCATGATAATCACTCTTGATGCGTAATGTGCATAGAGGGAATTTGTCATAGGAAACATGTAGGCTGGCAATACTGACACCGTCCTCAAAATGCCAGTTGCCTGACTGTCAAGCTGATCTTCAGTCTTCAGTAATTTATGGGTCTGGCTAAATAGAACTAAAATTCCTTTCATGCATAAAACAGTTCTGGTGTTCAGCTCTAACGCTAGATGAACAGCATCAAATCCAGGCAACTGGAATGTTTTTAGGAGGTCAGTCATGGCAGCTTCTATGTTTCTCTCATGACATTGTTCCTTTCTATAAAAAAAATTAAAATAAAATCAGTCTTACTACATTAATTGGCAGTTGGTGGTTGTGCTGTGTGTGAGTGGTAGCAGATGATAAGGTGATTCCAGCAGCCATGTTTTTCTGAACACAGTGGTTTTAGCAAAACTGTTAGCAAAAACTAGAGTATGTAACCACAGATTGGATTTGAATGTTTACCCCATTTTGAACTTGAGTAAAAGAACAATCAGAAAATAGATCGCAATTACGATCTGTCTGTCCAAGATGGGCAGATCGTACAAGCTTTTAATTAGCTTACAACCATTGCAAGACAAAGGTCTTGCGATGGTCGTATAGTGTATGGGCACCTTTTAAAAGCTGCATCAAGCTGTAAGTGAATAGAGTTGCCTTGCAGTTCAGAATGTGACATCAGTTAAGAACTAGGAAGGAGGTGTCAGGCTCTTACTTTATTTGCCCAGCACCTGGCAACCAGTAACGTTACTGAGCTGGTGTCAGTGCATCACCCGCACCGAAAGTACCATGCATCTAACCCCCGTAGGGGTTAGATGCGGACACCGTGGACACCAGCACTACCCCCACACCTCAGGAGGCAGAAAGTGTAGGTTGATGTACATCTTGGCAAAATGAAGGCTTATGTGTTGGGGGTAGCTTCTGGGTTTTAAAAGTTGCTGTTTGCCTATACAAAAAAAATGTAAACAGTATACCATCCATGTAACTCCTTTATTATACTGCTAAAACATGGCAACAGTTACACTGTTTTTGTGGACAGATAACTTCTGGTAGCAATCTTAAAAATAGTATTTTTATTTGTTTTTATTCACAAAAGCAAAGAAAACTGTGAAAACATGATCATTCATTACGTTACATAAAATATCTGGCTGTCTTTGGATTAGTTTTGCTCTATAGTGAAGCGGAATGTATGACAGGGTATTAAAAAGCAACGTCTGTTGAAATATGGAATGTTTATTTATGGAGAGATGGAAGCAATGAACATACATACAGTTAGCCTATAAACTCCTCTACAGAGTTACCCTTCCACATAGTCCCCATCACATTCGATGCATTTGCATCTTTGCGTTTGCACCATCATTGCGCCTCAAATCCAATTTTACAGAGCACTCGTTGCTCCACTGTTTTAGAGCTGTTATAACTTTTTGCAGGCCCTTAAATCTCGTGCCATGGATGTAATCCTTTCTTAACCCAAACAGGTAAAACTCAGATGGTGCCAAATATGGGCTGTGGGGTGAATGAGGGACCACTGATTATCCCATTATGGCAATCACTTGATGGCAATCACCTGACTAGTGGCATCAGAGGTTTGTAGGCTTGCATTATCATGATGCAGCTGTATGGCATGGATGTTTTTTCTGTGGTCTATTCTGTTTGATAGCTTTCTTCAGTTTTTGAAGTGTACCAATGTAGGTTTTACTATACACAGTTGCACCTTTATCCAAAACGTCCATGAGAATCATGCCTCGGTCATCCCAAAACACAGTCATCACGGCCTGGCATTTTTGTGCTAATCTGGCAGATTTCATTATCTTTGGATGAGGAGAGCTTGAATGGCACCATTCATTGCCTTGTCAACAATTTTAGTTTCTCCCTTTTGAAACTTCTCTACCCAATACCTAATTTGGCTCACGTCAATTTCTGCATCATCATACACATTCTTTAGTTTGTATGGATCTTGACAGCCAATATATCTTCTTTCGTCAGAAATTCAGTTGCTGCTCTTTGTTTCAACCTTTCATTGATGATTTACTTGGTACAATTTAAAAACAGAAGCACACAATAATTAGCTCCTGCATGCAGTCATATTGATTTAAAATAAGTAGATATAGTACAGTGACAGAGAAAAATCAGGAAGAGTGGTACAGTGTAAAGATCATAAAGAGTGCAGTAGAGTGAAAGCTGACAGCTGACTCCTATTCACTATTGTAATTTTTTTTCACTCTACACTTAACACATTCCTCTGCAAAATCTGTGCAAAACTTATAAAAATCCTATTCTCCTAGTTTTTATTCCTTTTGATGCAAATAGAATTTGGCTGCAAGCTGCACAAGAATTGCGACCTCAAAGGTGGCCATACACTTTACAACCATCGCAAGACCTTAGCCTTGCGATGGTTGTAAAGTACTTAAAAAAACGTACGATCTGCCCATCTTGGACAGGCAGATCGTACTTGCGATCATCGCAAGCCCGCCCCCTTGAGGGGCAGGCTTGCGATGACTGCAATGAGGGGCGGGCTTGCAACGACGGCAAACGGGCAGTGTGCGCGTGCGCACACCGACCCGTTCGTCAGTTGTCGAACAAGCAGGCCACTCACTCGCCGAGAATCGTACGATTCCCGGCGGGTTTTCCAGCCTGCTTGTTCGATGGAAGACGTGCGACCGTACAGTAGAAACGGTCGCACGCCTTCCATACACTGTACGATTCTCGTACGATCGCGGGATTTCCCGCGATTCTCGTACGAGAATCGTACAGTGTATGGGCACCTTAAGACATTGC